CTCCCAGAATTCTGGGAGTTGAAGTCCACTCATCTTGAAGTGGCCAAGTTTGGACAACACCGGTTTAGAATAATGCTGGAAACGGTGCTGTAGAATGGGAAAGTGACCTCAACATATTGATATTCCAGCACTGACCGCTATGCTATGCTATGGGAGTTGCAGTAACAGACTAACAGTAGAGGGGCAATTTCTGAAGTTTGGAGTTGTTTCTTTTACTTAAAAAAAAATACTTATAAACCAGGAGGATTGCAACCAGTTCTAAGTCTAGCTACCTTATGGATATAAATATGTGGAGATCAGTGGTTTGAATAGTTTTAACAGCTTTTTATTTTGATCTGTCACAGGACCAATTTGAATCTGTCCAGACAAGTCGGGAAAACCATCGACCTTCATCCATGTCTGACAATCAGTGCTGCTGAAATGTCTGTGTTTCCTCAGACAGCCACAGCTGGACTGCTTCAGTGGAAGCTTTGATGAACTTTACCTCAACAAAGTATTATTTAAATTCAGTTGCCTTGCTGCTTTTCTTCTTGTTATTAAAATGGAACCAACACATTTTCCCTAAAATGCAGATTTATGGAAAAGAATGGTAGCCAACGCCACACATTTTCTTATTTAACCCCGGAGTCTAATCAAGGCCGATCAGACTGTTTATTTTACTTGCTAATGTCCTAAATATTACCTTGTATTAACAAAAACAGTAAGTTGTGGCAGAAGCAAATTTTGCAGTTTACTGGAAAGGATGCCAGCAAAAAGCAAGCAGGGAAGCAATAAAAACTGTGAACACCTGGTTCAGATATGAGGACTACTACTCACTCTGGGGGAAATTGTGTCTTCTGAACCGGTTCCTAGCCTGGGAACAAATAAGCAAACTCATGTCAAATTAAATTTATAATGTCACTAATACCAAAGGAGAAAAGTAGCTAAGATGCTAGATATCCACGATGGGATTTCAAGCATGGACTTTGTTATCTCAAATGGTTCATGAGGAGCACCTCGACTGGATCAGGCCTACACTTTACTGACTGGATTTTTACATACTGTTGCTTTCCAGAATTGTGCCATTCCTCTTTTGGCTGTTCTTTGTGTCCTAATAGGAAAGGGGCAACAACTGGAGATGTGTTATTTATTACTTTATCTTCGTTTCTATAATAATATATTAATGGGTTAGTCTGAAAACACAGTGTGAGGAGACAAAGGGAAACCATCTTCTCCAATTCAAGGTGGCCCCAATCCAATTCAGGTCTCCGGGGGGTGGGGGAGCATGTGTTAGATTTGAACTTTCTCATCCAGTGTGGCTTGCTGGTTTCTTTTTATGTACTTGAGAAGGAAAGGAAGAAAGAATGGCCCACGTGTAATAAAACAGCACTCTGAGGTAGGGTGTGTGTGTGTGTGTGTGTGTGTATGTATGTATGTATATATATATACAATATGTCTGTGTGTGTGTTTTGAATATAGCTAAATATCTAGTGTACTTGAGAAGGAAAGGAAGAAAGAATGGCCCACGTGTAATAAAACAGCACTCTGAGGTAGGGTGTGTGTGTGTGTGTGTGTGTGTGTGTGTGTGTGTGTGTGTGTGTATGTATGTATGTATATATATATACAATATGTCTGTGTGTGTGTTTTGAATATAGCTAAATATCTAGGTATACAACATTATATATATTATATATATACATATGTCATAAGCTGGTAAATAGTGGTTAGCACTAATAGGTAAACTTCAGTCACTGTCATCTACATTTGTAATACAGATTTAGAAGCGTGCTGTTTAAAGTGACTTGTTTATAAATTTTTCATAGTGGTTTGGTTACAACAAATCAGTTAGCATTGTCTACAAGAGCGTTTAGCTTTTGGCGAGCTTTTATTTCTGCCTTTGCACTATCACTTAAATGCTGGATAGGGTGGTTGCAAGATCAAAGCACAAACTATGTTTATGTGAGGTGTACTGCATAGCCTCCTAAGCATGTGTGGGGGATTTTCCTTGAAAAATGACTAGTAGTTACTGATAATTTACTTATTTTTAAGTAAATGAAAGTGTGTGTGTGTGGTGTAGGCTCTACCCAAAGATATAGAACCAGAGAATTTAGCTTTATTTCATATACCTAAAGAGAGTTTTAGAATGATAATACTTGCAAATAGCTCTATATGCTATGAATAACTTGGAGCCTCTCCACTAATTCCTTTTTTCTTGGTTTATTCTTTTAAATTTCTTTCCCTGCGCATAAATAGATATGTGTGTTATATGTGTGCATATGTGAATGCCCATGCATTTATATGTCTCTGTGTGTTTTTGTGAGTGATGAACACATTTTTTGGTACTTTTTTGTTCTCAAAATTAGCAAATAAGGCAAGGGCAAATTAGGAAGATGTTCGACTTCTAGACTACATTTTCCTAGGAAGGAAAGTAAACATATGACAAAACAGGAATCACATCAATAGCAAAATCAAGGTTGTTTTTTTTAAAAAAAACCTTGAACATTAAAGTGAATAAAAAGTTATCAAAAGATTCAATTATCTGACATGAAGTTCAGAAAATACTTTTTGATTTTATAAATACAAATATCCTCTATTTACAATATATATTTTTCTTTTTGCTTTATTAAGGTACATGCCTTTTAATTTACATAAAATATTCCAAAAGCAGAGTGAGTGGGCTGAGAAAATTGAAGTACCAAAACATGCTTAGATGATATTCTGCATTTGCTCCTTTTTTAGATTTTTGTTCTTTAAAATCTCTAGTTGCCAACTATTGGCTTGCTCACCAGCAAAATGTCAGGAAATGAAAAATAATGCAGCCATAATCATTAATGGTACAGAAAAAAAAAATCTGTAACATGTTAAGAAGGTTATGTTTATAGATGCTCTGATAATTTCATTAATGTTTTGGCTTTCAATTTCTAGGAAATTACTTACGTCATTATGAGTTTCAATGCACAATTGAAAACACTGTAGATTAGAAAACACTTTGTACATTCACATGAGTTATCATTTTGACTTTATGTATTAAATGAGTTTTGAGTCTCAATGTGTGTGCCAGAGAAATGCAAATTAGACTGATAATGAAAGAACATCATTGCTTACTTTATGCCTATTAATAAATTCTTACAGAGTGGGAAAAAAATTCAGAATGCTATCTCTTTTACTAAAACTATTAGTCATTGTCGGAAAGATCTGTAGCAATATGTCAAGTGTGCCATTTGCTAAGCTGACATCCTATTTCTACAAAACAACAGATCTTATCCACTCCCTGTGAAATTAGTATGAGTTTCTGAACTTTACAGCAGACATAAGTAGACCCTCAAGGTTTGGTTCCTCATACAGCTGAACTTGTAAGCAACTCCAATACTGATAGATGAGTCTAAAGTACCTATGAGATGCTGGTTTTGAATCGAGAGGTTGCAACCTCCTCAAACAAGTTTGGTCTCCTTGTTCAGCTGGAAAGCTTACAAGGTCATCTTACAACAGTTGTCTACTGTAAGTGGTTAAAATCTGTAAGAGGATAAAACCTGATCTTCATCTTGCCCTGTGTTCTTTGGAATAAGAGTGGGCAGTACTGTAAGCAATGTTCTTTTTTCTTGGGCTAACAGAAAGTTATGGATAGCATTCATCTAGAATGTCTCAACAAGGAAGACATTCCCTGTTTAGCCCCTGCAGGAGGTTTTCAATAAGCAAACAATACATAAGATAGGTATACTTTTTTATGACTGATGTTCTAAGAGGCACAGAAACTTCAGAAAATTAAAATGGAAACTTTATGCATTAATGTAGGCCATTGATGTATACGGTCGTGGTTTTGAAACAACTTATTTAGGAATCTTAGCAATGGTGTGATGTCTTTTTAGTTGGTTTGCCTGAGTTTTAAACAACACTTAGAATGGTAATAGCTTCCCTCCGTCACCTTCAAAGTGCCTCAGAGTTGCTGCTGTAAACCTATTGGTGAGAATTGCTTTAAGGTATCTTTTTGCACCTCTAAGAATATTTCTCTAATCATCAGCAGTAAACACAGCACATTCCTTCCTAAGAGAGACACTTCATTCTCTGAAATATGCACACAGACATGCATACACACTGGGACAGAAAGTATTTTTACAGCATACCGCAGAAGTGTGATATTTTCAGTCCATTGAGGTTGATAATCTTTGGGCTAATCAAGAAAAAGTATGGGTCAAAATAGTCCAAAGACATAGAGAAGTGATATGATAGAGGTATTAAGGATTCTCTCTCTCTCTTCATTGTTATTATTCTAGCCCAAAGGTTGTGTACAGTCCATTTGAGTAAACCTAAGAAAACTAATTCTGACTCCTTACTCATTGATAGATTTAAACTCTGAAACTAAGAAAATACAAGAGTACTGGAAATCTGTAGCTGTAAAATTTATATAAGTGCCCAATTAAAAAATCCTTCTTTATATATGGTTGAAACTTGTTCTGCAAATGGTACAGTTTAACTTTGGTTCAATCCTATGATCTTGCTTAAAGCAGTGATAAGTATCTTTCTACCACTGAGGCTATAGATTTGTAATAAAGTTTTGATTGAAACCCAAAGAGCTGAATCCATCATGTTTATATCTTGAAATAGGATTCGAGAAAAATTGACAGGATACTGTCCCCTCATGTTTGCAAAACACAGTGTCTCATCTACTGTATCAGTACATCTAAATTCATTAATATGCAGATTTTTTCTTTTAATGTCAAAATAAGAATTAAAACTGGATCGCCGACCTGATCTTTTGATGCTGTTAATTTAAACAGAAAAATTATCATTCACATCATTTATGAGAACTGCGAATAACTCCCTTAATCATGTCTGCATTCTTAGTTGCCCATTAACAACTACAATACCAAGGAGAGAGAAAGAGAAAGGAATAGAAGCTGATATTTTAACACTGCTTTTAGCTCTTGGATATTTCCTTCGTAATATACACTAAGTGGTTTTTCTTCTTTTCTACACAGGAATGTTTGTAAAAATACATATTTATTCTTCTGGTTTTTATTTTCTAGAATTCCTTTTAAGTTTAATTTCTGCCCATGATTCTTCACACTCTTTTTACACCGTGTCTCCATTTAAAGTAAATAAAACAGCAGTTCTTTGGCACGGGGTGGGGTGGGGGCAATCATACCGCTGCGACAGTTCCATTCTGACGGGAACGTGACCTTTCCAAAGTTACTTTTCGGTTATCTGGAATATAAAGGAAAAGGAAAGAACCGTGTTAAAATTTTAAAACATGGATATTGCAATGTCAAGAGGTTTTCAAGCAGACTGAAATTCATATCAAAGGAATATCTAAATAAATTATTAGGATGTTAGATCGCAGCCATGTTAGAATGCAACTGCCAGGTGGAGTTAAAGAGGTATTGCAATCAGCAATAACTTGCTTTCCTAATCGAAGAAGATAGGGTGATAAAAGCATTGGAAAAATTCCGCTGAATTCTCTCCTAGGATATGGCAAGTGACAGCTAAGTGCTATGGAAAGTGTTACTGTTTAAAGAAGCTTTTCTATCCAGATGCTTTGGGAAGAAAAAAAAAAAGCATTCTTTTCAAGTGCAGGAAATTCACCAACTCTTACAAGAATGATTCCAACATGCAGATTATTCCCTACACACATTGCTGTCATAAAGAGATAGGATCTTCAATTTATAAGGAGTGAATAGTCCATTCCTACACATCCCTCAGATGGGTGATATTAAACAAGATAAACAGCAAATTCAGGATGAAATATTCTTACCTAGCAATTATTACAATGCATAATTATCACGCAGGGAAGGCCTAACTTAGCTAAAAGCCCAGTGTGAATCACGCATAACTGCAATACGGGCAGGATGAACGTATTCATATTTAATATAAATGTGCTATTTCCTTAAACTTGCTTGGCAGATTGTTTGCCCAGGATATTCAAGGGATGAGTAACATTTTCGCTTGGTGTAGACCTCGTACGTCAGCTCAAATCGCATGGCAATGAACAATTTATCAATTTGGCAATAAATCTGGCAGCTTATCTCTTTGAGGAGATAAAATAACGATAGACATTGAAAAGAGAATTAAACATTTGTTGGGCAACAAATGGCTTCAGAAGTATCAGTGAATAGTTCCTTAATCCACTCTTAATTAAGATACCAGAACCAAGTCTCTGAGAATTCATCCTTTTCTACCATCTTCCATTTTGGATACTCTCTGAACATCCTACATTCATGTATGGTACTGACAAAACACACAACTGCAGCTTCTTGATTCTATTACAAAATGGATGATAGGCCTAATCCTTTCCATGAATTCACTGGTTGTGACTGATGGGTTAGGAATTTGTCAATTTGAGTTCAGCTTGCACAACATGCTTAAATAATTCTGGTTCTCCAACAAGCAGAGACACCAGGCAAACATTTTGAAGGATACAGGTAGTCCTTGTTTAAAAACACCAACTGGGGCCAGAAACTCCATTTGACGTGACCATAAGTCGAAAAACCATCTGAGCATGCCGCTTAGCGACAGCAGTTTCACCAGTCCCGGTTGCCTCGTTAAGTGAGGATTACGAGTTGCTAAGTGAGGACCTTACATGATCTTGACTTTCCCATTAACTTTGCTTGTGGGACGCTGGCAGGGAAGGCTCCTTTCTCTTTTATCTGATTGTTCCCTATGCGGCGTCTCTTTCCCCCGTCTCCCAAGGCCATCCTCACGTTCCATCACAGAAACAGATGTAGAATATGTGTCGAAATGAGAAAATTAGATAGGTCCGACCCACACAGCACTCCAGGAAATCAATCCTTTAAGGCCACATGTTTTTGCATAGAAAAGGCAGAGCTGAACAGACCAAGATCCTATATGAAATGAAGTAAAGGTCATCTGGATGCCCGTTATATTTCTACTCCGGTAGCAGCCCATAACACTGAACAAGCAAACAGGGGAAAATGCAAACAGAACAGGTAAATGGGAATGATAGAAGCTGGTGACAAGCTCCTTTGGGCACAGCATTTTGTGCCCACTTCAAACACAGGCAGACAAATTAGATAGTTCTATATTTTTTAAAAGATCAAAGGGCTGGGAGACTTCTCTCCCATAATTCTCCCTACCCCCAAAACTGGGTTAAGACAAGTTTAATCATTTTACATGTTTTAAAAAGTAAGATAAAAATAGAGGAAATCTAAAGAAAACGTGGAAGGCCCAATCAAAACCAGGGTCCTACTGAACATGGGTAAAAGTGTTTATCAAGTTTTCTTCCTGAATCAGATTTTACCTCCTCTCAATGCCTGTCATTTCTAGGGTCAAAAGTTACTGCTTTCAAGACACGTAAGCAGTAATTTGGTCTTCAAAGTGGGAAAGACATGTCCAAGGCTGCTTTGGAGTGGAATGTACTATGAAAATGATAAGGCAAACCATGATCAAACATAGTTCTTGGGTGCTGGGTGAGGGGAGATTTCTCTAAAAGCACAATAAGCAGCTCTGTTACACATATGGTCAAATAAATATTTTAGGGAGAAAGAAATGGACCATAAATGTCAGGGGTCTACAAAACAAGAGGATGGTATATGTTTCACAAATCTGCAGTCTTATATATTGCTCCTCTCAATCATAGAAGAACATTTTGGAGATTGAGGGTGCAAGGAAAACAAATGTCTCCAGGGCACCAAAATTCTCTTGACATTTTTGCTGATTTATGCTGCCTTGAAGCTAGGTATCCTGGGAGTACAGCAAACTCTTGCTGTCAGAACACAATAGAGAACAAGTTGCTTCAAAAAGACTTATCTGGCACATCCAATTCTATCTGCTGGAGCCAAAATCTAATCAAAGTAGCTAAAAGGAATTGGATACAAAAGCAAGGTGGGATGCCCACCATACAGTGACACATGTCACTATAAAAGTCTCCATATCAAGGCACAACTTATATATTTTGTTCCTTTTTTGTATGAACAGCAACACTGGCCTCAGCTTTTGATAAGCTCATGGACAAGCGATTGCTTTGCTATTCCCTTCCTCCTGGCCTTGCTTCCAAAGGAAAGATTATGTGGATAAGTGAGAAGACAGTACTGCACCTTCCTGAGCTTGTGTTCCTTTTATGGGCCATGAGAATAGAGAAGGGAAAATGCATAGTTGTGAGAAAAAGTGGAGGAAGAGAAAGGTTGGGTGGGAAGGACTGTGGTGTGAGCTTGCCTTCAGTGGTGTCCTAGGGAAAGTGACAGTTCAACTTGGGTTACTAGCCAATGGATTTACAAGCAGAGCTGCATGGTGGTATGGGAGCAGACATCTGAAGTTTGCTCTTAGTCTTTGCCAAATATACTCATGCGTAATTAAACTAAATTATGCATAATATACACATCATTAAACTTTGGAATTTGCTACAGCAAGATAAGGTGCTGGCTACCAGCTTGGCTGGCTTCGAAAACAGGTTGGGCCAATTTATGAAAGTCCTAGGGATCAACGGCTATTGGCTTTGACAGCACCGAGAGACTAGAGGAATTCCTTGTGCAGTTGGCTGGCCACTGTGAGAACAGACTGCTGGACTAGATCGGTCAGGACTCTGATCCAGCAGGGCACTGCTTAAGTTCTTATGTCCTTAACCTATAGTATGTACCACCTTTACATGAATGTGACCTTAGCATGTCTTATTACCTTTTTATTTATTTATTTATTTATTTGACTTGTCCCCGCCCATCTCCCCACAACGGGGGACTC